TTGATATCATCTATGGACTCTATGGAGCCCTAAATTTAACAACATTTCTTATTTTCTCCTTAGTCCCTGTGTCCCCTCCGGTCATTGAGAAGAGCCCCTCGTATGCAGTTGTTGAGGACAAGGCGAACGTAACCTTGACTTGTTCCGTCAAGAGAGGAACAAGAGTTGTGTTCCAGTGGCTAAGGGACGACATCGTGCTGAGTCCCGGTGACAGATACCACTTCTCCCAAGACAACTCTAAAGTGTTAATCACTCCTGTGAGAAAAGAGGACAAGGGAACTTATCGCTGTGTGGCCAGCAACCCTGTCAGTAAGGGAGAGGGCAGCAGCTCTGTGGAACTCAATGTCTATTGTGAGTAGATATAACCATCCGTATTCTCCTTCTCTTTTCCTGCATCAAGGCTATACTGCAAGTCTAGTCCCCAGTTAGTTCAGACATGTTTTACAATATAAGGAGATGGATGCTGACATCTCATAGAAAGTCTGGTATAAGAAAATGCTGCTCAGTTTTTTCATGAAAGTAGCTGCTGTGATAGTCAGAAATGATAAATGAAATGCTAATATCACAGAGACTGGAATCAGATTTGTTTATAGCTCCCTGTCCAAATCTGAGGATATATGGCCATAATTGCAGGATCATCATTTACAAGCTGTTGTTAACTTGCAGTCAGACAGGATGACCCTCAATGAACCAAACAAATAGACAATTAACAATGCAGACAAAAAATGCAATTGTAGGTGTAATTTCTTTCATATAAGTCTAATAATTAGGCACACACTGAGGCCCAGATCTGTTAACACTACAAGGGCAGAATAGCCTGTGAACTACAGTTTCAAAAACATTTGGTTGAAGGAAATATTTTTCACAAAACTCCTGCAATAATACCAAAACCATAGAGTACATATATGTTTGTATTCGCCCTTTAAAGCCCTCTTTGCACTCTTCCCTGTGAGGTCGTATGTAAATGTCTATGAGATCAGACTTCTTTCTGACAACTGAATACACACGCCTGTTATGGGATAGTATTTGCATGGGAGCAGACTTATCTCACAGAGCTCCTCTGTTCTACCCTAAAGCGTGTAGATGCACTGATAAACTGGTCGGCTTTTGTGAGTCTGAGGTTGCACCCAGAACATAAATATAATCTTTCCATGAATTAATTTGAATCTTTTCACAAATTACAGAAACGACTTTAGTTTACTAGTACATTTGTGTAACATGTCTGTAACTTCCTTAATTTCTTTTGCATCCCTTCTGCCAGTGTGCCCAAACAGTGGGTGTGTAGGCGCCGAGAACTGCAGCACTAGTAAAATAAGCATTGTCATCATTTCTGTTTGCATAGACAGAGCATGTTTGTGCTAGCATTCAGTAGCCTCCAGCAGAAAGCAAGGATCCACTTCTATCAGTTCAAATACCAGTTCCTTTAGTTTTTGTTGAGTTTCTATTCCAGCCTTTGTTAATGTTATGGATTAGTGACAGTGACATGGGCAGATTCACTTTTGATGCGAGACATTCAATTAGAACTGCAAAGTTTTAGACTTAAGAGATTTTACTTCCTACTTACTACCTGGATCAGAGATGTTGTAGGGATGCCATTGTCAGAATGAAAAGGAGAATGTTAAGGAGATTTTTTTGTGGTTAAAATAAATTCTTATGACATAATTTCTTTCATTTTCTCAATATTTTTTACATTATAACACATATGAGCTTATCTACCTGTAACAAGATGTAACATGTTATTCAATTAATAAGAAATGCTGCTTCCATACACAGTGACAATTCTCTTCATTGGGGCTGTTTTGTTGGTTAATTCAAGGGCAACCCATCTGGGAAGGGCAAACACTGCTCTTCATTTCCTAACCAGGACTTATCCTGTTACAGTAGACTGTGGATTGAACCTATGACCCTGTAGTCAAATGTCTTGGGCCACTGCTGTCCCACGATGCATTAAGATGAGATAATTCATAGAAAAGTAACCACTCTGTATAATAAGCAACACATCAGCAGCAAACTGTCGTGTTTTCCTGACCCACTGTTGGCCCCTGCAGATGGCCCCTACAACTTGGAGGTGAACTCGGACCAAGGCCTGCGGACAGGAGAAGTGTTCACCATCAACCCTGGAGAACTGGTCTTCTTTGAATGCCAGGCTGATTCCAACCCACCCAACAGCTACGTCTGGATCTCTAAGAGCCGCAACACCACCCAGGTCATCACCGAGGGCCCGCGGCTGGAGGTGCGCTCCTATAGACTGGCCCAGGCTGAAGAGTACCTGTGCCGCGCCTTCAACAACGTGACGCAGAAGCAGGACGAGGCCCAGTTTACTCTGGTGGTGGCCAGCTTAGGAACAGGTGGGTAGAGGGTGGAACACGGCAAGAGGGAGCAGAGCGTGGGTAGATTTTGGGAATCCTCTGAGATAAACACTCTGCAAACAGTGAGTCGTACCAAAAGCAGAAGAGGTTTATGAGCTATGAGAGATATATCTTGACAATGACAACAACCATGGCCAGCTTCGGGAGCAGTTTCATAGTCATTTATATACAGCTGAGGCAGTGTGTGCACGACAGGTGAAAAGTGAAACCATGTTATGAATATAACATGAAATATGCTATTATGAAACTCATGTTTTATCTTTGTTGCTAGGTTCCAACGCCTGCAGCCTGTATTAAAGTTCAGTGGCTGGGAAAGTAAACAGTGGATAACAGCTGTTGTATTTGTTGACTAAGTTTTATAGCATGTGGAGTTTCTGTGTGCCGAATGCGACATTGATATGTTGTCTTGGTGATACCGAGAAAGGCTCACTGATGGCTACTACTGATACTGGGTATGATTTAAAATGCTGTTTATTGAGTCAACAGTAAGTCATGACAGCATCCATTTTTCATCGACATGACAATCTTACCGAAGAATCCTTGGATGACTAACCTTTTAATTAAGACCAGCCATGCCAGCTGCTGTGTGAGGCTGAAGCACACTGGGGCTTTAAGATTAAGATGAGCAGGCTAACACGCTGGTGTGTAGCAGGTAATGTTTAACAGGTTTATCTGAGTTTAGACTGCCAGAATTTTAATATTTGCTAATTAGCATTGTACAGCTGACGGGAATGGCATTACTTTTGCAGGTAACATATCTGGTATTGAGCAAATTTAAATTCTAATTTTTACCTGGTGATGGCTCTAAAAGAAGAATTAGATCCAATTCATGTAATAGTTCACTCAGTTTCACTCAACCCCATGGTGGTGCTAGAGGAAAGGTCAGTAGGACATCAAAGTAATTTGGGTTCATCTTCTGGGGACCATAAATGTATGTAGAACACAATTTTCAACTCAAAATTTCAAGTCCAACTGGCCTAATAGTTGTTGAGATATTTTAGTCTGGAGCAAATTGTTGGACCAATCGCCTAACACTGCTGTCACTAGAGCCACACTGCTAGCTTTGCTAAAAATGAGTTTTAATATCAGTGTCCTTCCTGTTTTTGTTTACAGGTAAAGAGAAGCACACCCAGGAGGGCAACTCTGTATCCCCTCTGGCAGCCATTACAGTCTGCTCTTTGTTCGTCATTGGTTGTATGCTGCTGTTCTTCATCAGGAGAACCTGCCATCCTAAGAGAGGTTAGATGAATGTCCTTTTCTGCTGCTTTGACAGAGGTTTTCTAGCTTGTTGTCCAGGTCTCGCAGTCAGTCCTGCAGCCTGTTTAACATGTTCCATGTTTGAAATCTTCATGTCTGAATGCTGAGAACTGGGAATGTTGAAGATAATCATAAATATAGATAACTTGCAAATGTCAGTCAACGGAAGGTAACCAGGCAAAGTACCTACTGCATTTGTCCTTTCTGTGTTTATGAATAATTATTTCCCTCTGTCTCTTTTTCTCCATTATCAACAGTGCTTATGAGCATTTACAACAGGTAAGAGCCTTGAATATGATATTAATACAAACATTAACCATACTGTAGTACACATGCTTCAACTGACAACTTTATTTGCATGTTTTGGCAGACCGCTTTCAGAACAGAAACGACCACATCGTTCAGGTGAGCTACTGCTTGTTAACAGATGTTCTTACCTGATTATACTATCAGACACTGCAGACATTAAAGAGTATGCCTACATCATATTTATACATATCTTTTTTTTAAGTTATTTTTTTGGCCTTTTTATTGCCTTTATTTGACAGGGACAGCCGAAGATAGACAGGAATGGGGGGTAGAGAGAGTGGGGATGAC